ACAAAAGCTAAACTAGAGAGTACATAAGCTTAACTAGAGAGTACATCTGATTTTCTACTAAAAATCCAGCCCATTTACAGCTGTACTCCACCTCCAAAAAGCCAACGTCTTGTTCATTAAGTCCTCCAAAAAGTCGTGTAAGACCCAGACCAACGCTGCACCAATGCTGTAGCATTTGCTGTTTTCACAAAAACTCTCAATTAGCTTCAATTTTGCATGCCATCAAGTYAACCACAACATTTAGCTTCATAATAACAAAARTATAAAKAAATAAATDAAAADGACTCAATTTGGGAATGAAAAGAAATTATTGTAACTAAAAAGTCCTAAAAAGAGCGCGTTATGTGTTAAATTCTCAACACATATCAGTTAGACTTGGTCTTTACATATTAATACAATTTGAATAAAAAAGAGTTATGGTTCCAATTACAGACTATCGATGAAAAAAATTGTATGACAGTTTAAAATCCAATATATTTAAAGTCCAACATATTTAAACAACTCCACAAATGTGTTCGATTTACACCAAGAGTAAAGAACCAAGAAACTTGAGTTTTAAGATAAACACTTAAAATCAATAAAGAAAACTACAAATTTGACAGATCATAAGCCATGAAAAGACCAAAAAGATGGGTTTTAGAATGAAATTTCAACTGTTTACCCTCTTTCTTGTCCAGAAACTCAGATTAAGGTTGAATTAATACATGTATATATATATTTAAAAAAAACCCAAGAACATATTAATTCAGAACATATTATACAGTGCAATTTGGACAGCCTAATCCCAAAATATATGGTGTATATATATATATAAATAAATAACTATAAAAGTATAAATCGTAAATATTAAAAATATTTTTTCACAGTATATATAATATATAATAATATAATTAAGTTAAAAACTATTCAATATTGGACTCATTTCGAATGTATTAACGAGACGATTATAATAGTGTAACTTGTTAAAATAAAAATATATTTTTTAAACATGTTTTAATTGATATACAATTATGTATGTTAATTTGATAAATGTTTAAAATGAAACATTTAAAAGTAAAGAACGTAAAGTAAATTAATTAACTAATTATAGGGGTATAAAGTGTAAATTTAAAACTATAAAATTAAAAAAATCATTTCAAGAGGGTGAGTGTATGTGAGAGGGTGAGTGTATGTGAGAAGAGGAGGGGGTGAAAAAAGTGAAAATGGTATCTTGGTCATTTAGTATTTTAAGACTTTAAGACTTTTGTTAAATTTGCTTAATAAGATAGTAAGATAGTGACATAGGGATCACGATGCATTCTAATCATATTATCGTTATTAGATTGTCTGATAAGAAAAAATGTTACTTACCAGTTTGGCTTAAAAACGAATCAGGATGCAATCATAAAACAAATGAAAATGTTGTTTTATCGTTGGACGACTGATCGTTATATGATAGAGCGAAAGAGGTGAAAATGGTTTCTAATGTCAAGGAACATGACTGTTAGGATGCGCAAGTCGCTACTTGTTCAATAGATTTATTTTCAGTACATTTTTTATTAGATTTAATTCGTTTAATGAACAAGTACACGTTTCTTAGGATCATAAGACCTTTTTCACGTGAAACCGTCTTATCATGGACGTTGAATTTAGATGACCATCGAACAATAATACCTGAATTTTCATTTGACTCCTCATAGCTTCTTGGTTTTTTCAACTTTATTAGGATTAGAAAAATTCCTTTCACTCGTTGATTTAATTTGTACGTGACTTGGTTAATATTTTTGAAAAGTTGGGAATTATTTTACGTTCATCTTGAAACACAATAGTTAGAACCATCTTCATTTCTTCATCAACTCACCTCTCTGTCTCACATTTTCGGTCCTTAACCATTCACTCCTCCGTGTACATCTAAGAGATTCAAACTCAAGATTTTCATCTTCTCTAACCATCTTCTCACCATTGTTGACCTTATTTTGGGGTTTTCTTGAAAATCCATTTATAAGTTTATTCTAACCTTTTTGAACTTTTATACTTGTCAAAATACTTCATTTTAGTCTCCTAGAACATCCCTCTTGGTGCCTTTTATACATCTTTGGATTTTTGACAAATTTTAGGTATTTGGAGAGATGTCGGAGTTTTTATCCTTTTTGCTAGTAAATGTTGAGTTTTCTAGAGTGTGTTAAGAAGTGTGTTTTGAGTACACAAATGATATTTCAGGACTTGAATCATATGATTTAGGTATATCTGATTTTGTTCATCTTTGGGAGAGTTTTATGTAAAATGGTCACATTTTTGAAAAGAGAAATTGCCCGTACTTGAGAGATGAAATGTTTGAGGATCTTGGTAGTTTTGGTGGTTACGTTAATATTTGGTATCTTCTAGCTTGCTTGGGGGTTTTGAAGAGTTTCTTAGAAAGATCTTGCCTCAAATTCTCACCTTTAGGACTAGAGCTTGGATTTGGAATCTAGGTAATTTAACCTAGCAAAGTGAGTTCAAGTTGCTTTGTGAAAACTTTGTATATGCTAAAAATGTCTATCTTAAAGTATTAATGTATTTTACTTGATATTTATCAAATGTGTGAGTTATTTGATGAGCTTTACTTACTTGATACATTTGATTTATAATTTTTGTGAAATACCCGTATTTGGGGTTTTTGGCCCATATTGGACAATAAATTTTTTAGAGGGCGTCATTTTGATGATTTATTTCATAGTATTGATTATTTGACATCAATGCACTTTTAGCGTCTTTGATTTTATAAATCATTTGGAAGATACACATTATTATGTTATAAAGTATTTTATAGATGTAACTGATATGATTTCATTTGGGGAAATATCAATGGTGGGTTTTTGAATTAATCATACTTTTGGAGGATGTGTTTGCATAAACATTGGTTAAATACGTTTTATTAATGACTTCTATTGAATATCAATTGAGATGTTTAGCTACTAGCTCGGTTTTGACTCAAATGAATCTTAGGGGACATTTGTCCGATTTATTTGCTCTTTGTCGAGCTTTTGGAGTTATATCCAATTATGACACATTCATTTGAAATATCATATGCTTTTAGTGCATGATCATTTATTTGGAGTCATGTAATTTAGATTGTAATGCAATGGATCCATAGGCATATGAGTCAGTTTTTGTTGATTTAAATTGGGACGGTTGTCCCCGTGTTGTGGCCATGAATATGCATTGGATGGAGGGCCTCATGGTGCGAGCTCTTGAATTCGAACATCTGTCGTTGGCCTTATGGTATATTTCTGAGTCGATTTCAATAGGATGATTATTCCCGTATTGTAGATAGAAATGTACATTAGGTCATCGGGGCCAACTTGGTAGGTCTTATGGGAGCCGGATACTAGCCATCGACCACATGATGTAATTTCTAGTGAATGAGGGTACCTGGGATCATTGGGATAGTTGAACTATAAATCGCGGTTAATTGATTCCATTGGGAGCAATTGATCCTCATGATGAGCTCTATAACATGACCTACCTTCATGATCCGCCACTAACCATGGAAATCGGGTCTCCCCTGTCGCCGAAAGGTGTTGTTTTGGGTATTGGGTTCTATCCATGTTTTTTGATGACATGTTGAGCATGCAGTATTTTTCCATCATTTATGGTCTAGTGATTGGACCTCGTCCATGTCTGGGTGTTTTCGGATAATCAAGTTTTATCCACAATTTTAGTATATGAACATTTAATCTTATTCACTTTTGGTGGCTTGAGTTTCATGATGAATGAATGTTTTGATAAATGAGCTTTTATCACGAAAATGGTGGATTTTGGAAAGGATGTTGCTTTTATACATTATACATTTCATTTGGGAAATTACAATTTAAATAACATCTCTTCAGTTTTACCATTTTAATATTTGAGATAAAAACTGTTTGAACTCACTAGGCGTTAAGCCTAACCCTTTTTTATTTTTATTGGCATGTGCATTAGGTCCTTGTTGGGGAATGACACTAGTGACACTATGAATAGTTGATAGCTAGTTTGAGGCGCGAGATATAATCAACAAATTGGAGACGTCTTTCGCTTTTGGAGATAACGACTTGATTGAGTTTTAGTAACACCCGACTTTGATCTAGTCTTATATAAAACTTGATTTATCAATTGTTAATTTTAAATCTAGTTTTGCTATTCAAGGAAATCTAGGTATTGATTTATAAGGAAGGATTTATCATTTATTTGATGTATTATTGAAAATTTTAAATTAGTCGCTATTTTTCAGATTTGAGCTAAAATCAGAAAAAAAGACTGATTTAAAATTTTCGATAAAACATCAAATAAGAATCAAATCCCTTTCTAAAAGTCAACATTTGTCTACCTATAATGACAATCTAAGATTCAACATCACTAGATAACATTCAAACCTTATACAAGTCTATAATTAGGGACATGTGTTATTAAAACTCAACAACGGACACTATCCAACATATGAAAGATGTTCCCCCGATAGCTATTTCCTTCTTGTGGATCTAACTAGCACTCAACTATTTAGGGTGTCATTATTACCATTTTCCAACAAGGACCTGATGCACATGCCGACAAATTAGTGAGATCAAACAGTTTTTTTTATCATAATTATAAAATTGTACAACTGAAAGACTGCGTATTTAAAACATAATTTCTCAAATGAAATGTCTTTATCGTAAAAACAACATCTTACCAAAACCCACAATTTTTTCTAAATTAGAACACACATTCTATATGAATTCAAAACCCAATACTTATTCAAAACATGAATAAAGTTTAATGTCCAAATATTGTAAACATGGATAAAAACTATGTTATCCAATAATACTAAAAACATGGATAAGGCTCAATACGCAAAACCATAAAATCATGGAAAACCCTCCATACTAAAAGAAACACCGAAAACATGGATAATACACTATCCGAAAATAACACATTTCAGTGACAGGGAGACACCTACCCATCGAATGTCGAGACCACAAAAGTAAGCCAGATATCTATGTTAATAAGTTCCATTATGGATCACATAGTCATCATTTTCAACCACATACGGTCTATAGATCGAGTCCTCAGCTGATCCTAGACATACCCGTTCACTAGAAATTATAGCCTCTATGGCCTCACGGTCATCAAGTTCAACCACCCACAGTCTATAGCTTGAGTCTTCCGCTACAACTCACACAGTCGTCAAGTTCGACCACAACCACTCATGATTTATACCTTGAATCCTCCATTATGTATCATACGGTCTGTACCTTGAGTCCTCCGTTGATCCTAAATAATCCTAGTCCAAATCACATGACTCCTATTGAATGACCAATGCACTCAAAATATGTAATTTCCAAATAAATATACAATAACTACATATCACATTTTAAAAAGTAGGTAAATAGCCAAATATGAATACGAGTGCAATAAGAGGAATCACTACTACCCATCCAGGTCAAGGACGGTAATATTGGTACTTTCCTCATAAGAGGAATTACTGATGCCTAATGTTTGCGTAACTAAGATGATTGATTACTGATCATCGATACCGTCAGTAACTCTAACTGTCTCAAGGTAGCGAAATTTCTTGACGCATAAGTAGCGATCTAAGAAAGTAAACATAAAAGGTATACTTTGTTTTTGATAACATGGACATTTTGAAAAACATTTAAGAAATTAACATATTTTTGAATAACGTGAACCTTTGAACACATGGTCCTACATCACAAAACTCAAAAATTCCCAATTCTCTGCCATGGCAATGAAGTGAGTCTGATAGCGGGAGCAAATAGTAAATAAAGTGTTTATCGTGGGAGCAAACAGAAAAATATTCTGAGCACCACCATCACATTCACATCATCATCAACCCCCCTGATCTGATAATCTCCATTCTTTCTTTCACCCATTTGATCAAACAGATGGCATAGAAAGCCATATCAACATCCTTTAGGGTTTCCATGGATTCAGAACTCAATGGCTTGTCATCAGAACCCCATTCCCTACATTGTGATTCCAATCTTGAAGACGGTCCCATTAAAGATGATCTCCCCCTCCTCCACTCCTCCAAACCCATCACTACCGATGACACATCCACACCCCAGCCAGACATTGAAGAGCTTGAGAAGAAATATGCCGCCTATGTCCGACGTGATGTGTATGGCACCATGGGACGTGGGAAGCTACCTTGGACCCAGAAGCTTCTTTTAGGGATTGCACTGATCACCCTCTTTCCGCTGCGTATGGTGTTGGCTACGTTGGTTGTTGTGCTCTATTACTTGATTTGCAGGGCTTGTACTCTGTTTTTGGTGCCGAACCGGGAGGATGAACAGGAGGATTACGCACATATGGGCGGGTGGAGGAGAAGGACTATTTATTGGGTTGGAAGGGTTCTTTCAAGGTCGTTGCTTTTTGTATTAGGGTTTTATTGGATCACGGAGACTTATAGGAATCCGGACCTCGACAGCAAATTCAACGATGAGGTAGCTTTATTTTTCTACTTATTTATCCGAGTGAATTTGTATGAACAGTTTGTATTCTGCTACTTGTTAAGGTAGACAATGCAGAGTGAATCATCAATTAAATTTCCTTGTGCCGTAATAGAGTACTTGATATCAAGCTTACGTTATTCATGTTACTAAATATATTATACCCTTTCATTTAAGAATTATGCAACAGGAGCTACTCCAAAGAGTATATATAATCATCACTGGAACATCTTACTAACTCTAAGCTATGGTGGTCATATGAGAAATAGAAAGAAGAATAGTGATTTGGAACTTCATTGTATGTAATTATACCATGCATACATGCATTTTGTTCATAACCATTTCTCCTACCTCCTTTCATTGTGGGGAATTGGGGATATTTGAATACTTTTCCATTGAGAATAATGTAAGAACTATTTGTTTTAGCAGGAAAAGCAACAAGCTTGAATATCCTGAAATTAAACTAGTGTGAGAAGACCATTTGCAAGTTCTAAAATTTGGAGCAAAAAGTGCCAAAAATTGGTTCAGTAGAAGAAACATGCTTTATGATCTCGAATAATGCTGTAGTGTTATATGTTGCCATGTTGGTTTGTCACATCTGTAAAATCAGCTTATTGATGTGATCATTATTTTTTTTATGTTACTGTCCTGATGATCCTGTCCTTCGCATATTTGTGAACAAATAAGCATATGAATTAATTGTTCCTTTTGATGGCCAGTTGGACGAGAATGGTGAATCTGAGGAATGTGAAAGACCTGGAGCGATTATATCAAATCATGTTTCACATATCGATATTTTGTACCATATGTCTTCTTCATTTCCGAGCTTTGTCGCCAAGGTTTGTCTATTGTTTGAACCAGAATTGAAATTATATTTATATTTGTTGGGTGATATAGCTGACATGTTCCTACTATCTGTTTGATATCATTGCTGAAGAGATCAGTGAGCAAACTTCCTCTCGTTGGCCTTATCAGGTTGGTTTGAGTTGTGATTTACTCTGATGCATATAATATGACTTTAGACTGTCTTGTACAGTGAAACTCTTTTTCTATATGAAAGAAGACAATTTCCAGTTGATGAGAGATGTTCATTTAAAAAAAAATGATATTTCTTTTACTTGGTCAGATTCAAGGGGTGTTGAATGTAAAATTTCTCCTGGTCTATTATTTGATCCGTATCCTGTCATGCTACTTAAATCTGGTTGTGCTCCTTTTTTGATTTTCACATTTAGGTGTTCAATTATGGTGATTAAAGCAACAAAAGGGAAGGCACATGATGCATATTCTTGTCTTGGGAATAGAATGTGGATAACCACAAGAACAGAATGATTGGAAACCTATTGGAAGTTTGACTTCTATAATTGTATATAAAGCTGTATGTAAGAGGGTAAGGACTTGGAGAAAGTTTAAGGTCATGGTTTGAGCAATGAACGCTCTTTTTGCAAAATTCAAGGGAAAGTATACGCACAGAGACTCCCTCCTAAACTGTTGCAATGCCTGGAGCTGGTCCACCTGGGTCTCTCTTTAGATAAAGTTGAGTGTAATGTAGCTAACAATTATGGGAATTTAGAAATTCAAATCACGATTTGAGCAAGATATTTTAGGAGCAATTTCTTTTTTAATTCATATTATATATCAAAGTTTCTAGTAATTTGTAACTTGTCTAACCTCGAGTTAGTTTGGCGTTCATCCTAAAATAGCTATGTAACAATCCCTTATGCTTTGTAGAAATTGCATTTTCATCATGTGCAAGCTTCTGATCTCTAGCCTGTGGACATGGCTTCTTCCTTCACCATTTTTCTTCCTTTTCCACCTCTTTTTTCCCTTCCATTCCCTGCTTCACATAAATCACGATGCATGAGACCTTGCTGCGAAAACTGCCATCTGTTTTATGTACGTTTAAAAACCTAACCATATGGTCTGCAATATATTGTTTCTTGCTGTGAATTGTGATTTATTTGTATATGTTAACCAAACTTTCTAGCTGTTTTCTATTTCTAGAATGTGCATTTGCTGTACACTAGTCTTGGCTTTTCTTCCTGTACCAAGATTTGCTACTATTGTGCTTTGTGTTTCCTTACTTGTTACAACCTATTTTTCTCACATTCATTTCTGATGCATTTTCTGTTTATTGTACTCTTTTCTTCCTTGCACGTAGTCTCCTCTGTAGCCTGCTTGCTTGAATCGTACTTCCTTTTAATTTTTGTTTTGCAAGTCGGGGGTCTTCATGGAAACAACCTCTCTACTCCATCGGGTAGAGGCAAGACCTGCATACAATCTACCCACTAGATCCTTCCTCTATGTGGGATTTAGTTTAGTTTATTTCTGAAGTGTCCATCTATGGGTTTTTTGGGTCGTGATTCCCTATTGAAACAAGCTTATAATCTATTTCAAAATGTGGTAAGAAAACAAAGAGCTGGTCTATCAGGATGAAAATAAATTCAAAAAAAGTTTAATAAGAAAAAGAAGTGTAGTAGAAAAATGGCTCATTGGCCGCCCTTTTACTTGTAAGCATAAATTTTAAGGAATTTGTTCTGTTTAGCATATGTCGTTCGCATCCGGTCTGACGCATATACTTCTGTCCTCCGCTTGGTGGTGTGGTGGTGTGGAGGGTGGGTATCAGGTTGCATCAGTTCTTGATAACCTTATATTGATGGATAACATGTGTATTGAGTTTTCTGAATTTTGCATGTTGTTCATGAATGGAAATTAAACACTTTAAATTTTTGGCAACTCAAATTTTCAAGTTTTTAGCCAATAGTTTTACTGTTGCAGATTGTTTCAAAATTTTACAGAGGATGTGATCTGAAGAAACTTTTGGAAGTGTCAAATTTTAAGTTATAAATGGGGGTGCTGCTGTGTTATACTGCCAATAGATGGCTGAACATATTGTAGCCATACATGATAAATTAGTTACTTTATGGAATTTGTTGCTTCTCTGCATAATTTTAGAGAGGTCTAAACGCAAGGCTTTATCTGTCTGTTAGTTTTGTTCCTTCACAATTGACAATTGACACTATATGTTGGTTTGGTGTACTAACTAGTGCTATGAGATATATCAGTTAGAATATCTTCCAAGTTTTGTATATATAATATCAAGTAGCTTATGATTTATCCTTATGCGGCGTAAGCACTTTTACTGGCTTTATTTTATGTATTATTACCCCTCCCCTTTATTAAAATTATCCTTTTCTTTTAATTTTTTTTAGTTTGCACCAATTTAACATGTCATTGCGTTGCATTTACTTTTTCTGTTTTCAGCAAGTGCCTTGGTTGTGTATATGTTGAACGGGAGTCAAAATCATCAGAATTCAAGGGTGTTTCAGGTATTATATATCTGATGCAACATTACTGGTTCACATGCTTTGTTTTTATATCATTTTAAGAACTGTACCAATATTATGGATTTTTATCTTTGCTTGTTTGCTGAGTTGATAATTAACATGTCTAGTAGAAAACATGTTAACTTGGGAACCATTTATCTTGCCGTCAATCCGGTGTTGCATCAATGCACTAAGCATATTGAGATAGACTTGCACTTTATACGCGACATGGTCCTGTTCAAGACCTTACATGTTCGTTATGTACCTATGGTTTGTTAGCTAGCTGACATTTTGACTAACGGACTTAACTTCTGCTCGATTTGCTCATATGAGTTCCTAGCTGCACATTTTTCTGGTTGTTTCGTTTGTGGGGGATGTTAGAGATATGCATGCAGAGGTGTTGCCACATGTGCAAATTTTTAGTTGGTGTCACATGTGCGTTCTGTTAAGTTGGTTAGCAGGGTGGTTAAGCTTGAGTTGGTCAGCTCTTGTACACTATAAATAAGATGTAAGCTCATGATTAAAGGAAGAAAATACATACAATAAGAGAGAATTTCTTCTATGTTCACTGTTTTTCTGGTTGCTGTTGTACCATAAAGTTGTTTAACTTTTAACTAGAAGTAGAAATTTAGAGATCTCTCTTCTCTAAATTTGCTCATGTGGCGACACCTCTGTATACACCTTGTACACATCTATAAATTTGCTCATCCCCAATCAATTACTAGTCGTATTATACACTTGTACCCATCACCTTTCTGTTCATACATGCTTATAAATTAGTTAAGAAAATGATACTGCCTTTGTCAAACAGGTAAGAGAGGGTCAATGGTGAAAGTTTGGGGGTACAAGTCCAGATGTAGTGTTTCAATATCTATATGTAGCAGAGATTCTTTGCATGTATAGTGACTACCTATCTTTTCTTCATGATTTAACAAGAAGTATATTTCTTTTAATGCAATACATGTTGCATTTTGAGTTGTTGCTTGCAGGTCTTGTGAATGATAGAATTCAAGAATCGCTTCAGGATAAGTCTGCACCCATGATGATGCTTTTTCCAGGTTATCATTGTTCTTTTTTCTCACTTGTTTTGGCCCTTGTAATTTCTAATTGCGTACATGGTTATCTCCCTTGCATTTTAAGTGGTGGTTTTCAATGAGCCTTGGGTGGCTGTCTTTACTTTCTTCTCTTTTGTTCCATTTCTCTTTTTTTGTTTACACAAAGTTTGACAAACAGGCTTTGACTTTAGAATTTTGTTAACATCATCTTTTTTACCCATTATTTTTTTTATAATTATGTTTCAATCTATTTTTTGGTTTGGATGGGGTGGTATACTTGTTTTTGTTTTCTTTTTGCTTGTACCTTGTTACTTCTTTTCCTCCATGAGTCTTGAAGAAAGTACTTCTATTTCACCGATTCACATTTAAGACTTGCATCAACTCTGGAGGAGTACACTGCATGCATGAGCATCTCTACTCTATGGCTGACTTATAAACTAAAGGTTTGAAAATTTCATTTAATGGTGAAATTGTAGCACTTCTTTTGTGCAGAAGTGGGGATGAAAAGATTTAAAACTTAAAAAAGGGGAACTTGATTTCTCACATTCTCCAATTAAAAAGTTATCATTTGCTTTATTTGCGGACTATCATTTCAAATTGCAATTGGGGTGTAATGATTTGCTACTGATAACTGAATTAGCTTTGACTATGACTCTAAGAATCAGTCCCAAAAAAAGGAACAGATTGTCAAGTGTCAATTCATATTGCATGCACCTTCTTTAGTGATTTTCTGTTGCTTGTTTAACCAAATGTTGGTGAGTAATCTTCTGTTCACCTGTAATAATTTATTTCGATATGGTTACCTCTCCAAATTTGCTTTTTTGGGTTGTTTAATTTGCTTTATTGTGTTTATACAGAAGGGACTACTACAAATGGGGATTATATACTTCCATTTAAAACTGGTGCATTTTTGTCTAAAGCTCCTGTTCTTCCTGTTATTTTGAGATATCCATATCGGAGATTTAGCCCAGCATGGGATACCATATCTGGGGTGAGTGTCAATCAACATGGAAAAAGGAGAATTTTTGAGTCATTATCTTGTTGTGATGGTATATTCTTTCTATTGTTTTGATATATAGGATCCAAAAATGATGGAGATTTGTGTGATTAGTTGAATAAATAGTTTTGCTTCTATGTTTGATTAGCCAACCAATCACATGGTTTCCTTGCTTAACTGGGAAGCTGTTTACCGAAATCACTATCACAAGTCATGAAGTAAAGCATAAAACGGACATATGGGCAGTGAATAGAAAAAAGATTGACACATCCACTTCTAGTTTCACTCTCGGTCTTCAGATACATGGGATTTTATCTGAGATATGCATTTTCCCATGTTTGTCACTCTTCTGTAGGAAGTTCAAAAGGCTCCCGTCTTGAGCAAATTTGTAGTATATTAGGTGAGCCTTATTATTCCACACGTGATGAATGGCTCTTTTCACCAATAATTCTGATCCATGTTCCACTTGCAGGTACGTCATGTTATTTTGCTACTGTGTCAATTTGTTAATAATATTACAGTGTTGAGGTTACCGCTTTATTACCCTTCACAAGAAGAAAAGGACAATCCAAAACTCTATGCAGAAAATGTTCGGAGATTGATGGCTCGTGAGGTATGCTTATTTATTCATTTCAGTTACCAGCCAATGCCATATTAATTACTTATTTCTTGGTGTAATGCATTTCATTACAAGAGGTTACAATTATTTATAAATTAGAATAAGACTATTTGGTAAACCTTTTGAAGTTGCCTAATTTTCTGAAAATTTTGAAAGAGCATCATATTGTTCCCTCTGGCCCATGAAATGTGGCAACACTTCTATAATATGGTAACACTCAGGCCCTGACAATTTATAGGTTCGGGGAGTTTGTAAAAAAAGGGTTACCGGTAGAGGTCAAGGGTTCAAACTTCACGAAAGGTGAGCTCTGTGTGTGAGTATTTGCCGTATATAAATATTATATACTTCAAAAAGAAGTACAGAAAAAGCCTTAAACACATGTTTTTTTATTATAAAAAATAAAATTGAATTCAAAAAAATTCTAATAGTTCATACGAAACAATTTTTTTGAGCATTCCTAGACACAATCGTCAATAATAATATCTAGATCTATATCATATTATCATGTATCAATATATAACTAAGTTTATGTTAGCATAGCACCACTTTCTACCAAACCAAAGCTAAAACACCATCACTAACTACTAAACCATTCTAAACCCCTTATTGTATACAAAGTCGTCCTGTTACAATATTCATACTAATCGAACATATACAAAATACCAAATAAATATAGTCAAATCCTATGTAAAAATTTGATGCCATCGAGGAGTCCATAGGATTCCCTTGTTCTGCTGTGATTGAAGGTTATTTGGGACATTTGGTAAATGGTTAAAACATTTCTCGAGAATTTTGTGTGCCCGATTAATGGAAATACCTGAAATTGAATATAAAGATCCTTTGCTTCTAAAGTCAAATTATATCATTTTATTTGGAAAGTGACAGTTCAAACGTTGACAAGTACAGTAGGCGGTGCCAAATTAGAAGTCCTTTCATAACATCTCAGAGGTGAAGAACAATGTGATTATGATTTTTATGTTGGTGAAAGAAAAAGATAAGATTAAAAAGTTAACATCTTGCTCAATGGTATGATACAGCGAAGGAGATGAATACACTTTTGTTTTCCAGTTTGGATGCATATGCAACATTTCCAGTTTGTTAAAGGTGGGGAGTTGATATTACACGGTGCCTGAATACGTATAGTTGTTGTGATGTGTGCAGGGCAACTTAATAATGTCGGATATTGGATTGGCAGAGAAGAGAGTATATCATGCAGCTGTCCATGGTAAGCCGACTGTTTTGACAATTGATTGATAGGTTTTTGATCTGAAGATGTGTAGTTAGTTCCCTATTTAGTTGGTATGCAACAAGTTATTATTCATTCTGAATTAAAAAGCATCCATCATCTGAAACATTCTGTTTTTGCTTTCGTGCAGATTTGTTTACTTAAAGATGACCATTGATTAGTCATTTGGCCAGAAAGAAAGAAAAGAAAAGGGAAAATAATAGCAAAATTGTTTGAAAAATGTATGAATGAGCTGGTAGCAGAGCAGACCTGAGATTTTGGTGAAATGGTGCTGCTTCCTTGGTCTCTACCAGTGAAGAAGATTGAAGAATGAAGGTGGTGGAAGGAGACCAGCAAAAAAGAAAGCAAAATTGGTGTTTATTTTTTCAAGGGTTTGTTAGTTTAAATTAATTAATGTATACTTACTGATAACAGAAAACAAGTAAAGCAGAAAGTAGATTCACAGCAGTTTGTTTCAGTGGTCTCAGTCTTTGAAGCCTGGTCTAACAAAAATGGAGGAACAAACCACTCCCTTTGGTCCTGTTTATTTAGAAGAAAAAGAATTTTTATTGTTTTTTTTAAATTATATAACATAATATTAAATTCTATTTTTTAAAAATACCATTCCTAGTCTTTAATCAATTGGAATCGAGTCTTTAATCGATTGGAATCGAGTCTCCAATCGGAAGAGGAATCTACCCGTGGTCCGCTTTCTATATCTGGGAAGGACTCAATTCCTTCTTTCTTCCCCGGCGAAATGTAGCAGGAACAGCCTTCCCGCAGTTGCATAGCTGCTTAGCCAACAACGATGAAGGTTAGTAACTCTCTTTAAGATATTCCCATAAGTGTTGCTAATTTGAATTGATTATTACAAAGTATAAAAAGAATTTTGTTTAAACAATCCATGAAGATAATTAACTCATTCCATAAACATCCTGGTAGGTATGTATGGTTCCATGGAGAAGATGGTAATTACCGACCTTGATGGGTTGCTCGATATCTGGTTTGTTTGACTGTTAACTTTAAAGGTCTTGTAAAATAGTAGAGGTTTGCGTAAACTGGTTTGACCGTTTGGGCACCCATGGCTAACCGTTAAACATAAGGTCTTATAAAATTAGTTGAGGTTCATGTAGGGTGGCTTGGATGGCCATGTCTACAAAAGATAGTAATTGCCATCTTTATATATGATTCTGAAGTATAATCTTTAGGTTCGTCCAATAATGCTAGTGTACTCGTTCTTAGGAACACTTGATAAATCTGATTTAAAAAAGATACGAGTTTTCGTTTATTGAGGAACCAACATAATTTGTTGAACGACATATAAACAATTTCCATCAATTATTCTTTAAATCTTTGTGATATACCGTCATCGTATTCATATTTGATCAATGATCATAGTTCTTTTTGAAGTATATAATATGTCATACGGTAAATAAACTCACACGTCCTTTTTCACCAACTGAAGTTTTAATCATTGACCTCATGGGAACCGGTAAAGGAAAAACCGAGTGAACCGGTAAAGGAAAAACCAAATATGGAGTATGGCTATAGTGTCATGCGATAGTGACATCCGGTCGTGCCCGATTATAGTGCCATGCCATTATGACATCTGTCACAGTAGCACTGATGGTACTTAGAGTATGGTCATCCCGACTATAATGCCACGCGGTTGTGCCATCTTTCACAATAGCACTGATTGTATTAAGAGTATGGTCATCCCGACCATAGTGCCATGCAGTTGTGGCATCTGTCACGATAGCATTGGTGATAGCGAGTGGTTAGTCATCTAGACAATTGTGCCATGCGATTGTGATAATGACACGATAGCGGGCACGATAACATGAGATGTACCGAGAGCTGGTGCATCCGGGATATTGTGCCATATGATTGTGACATTGTCACAATAGCGGGGCACGATAGCCATCAGATCTCGAAGTATAAAAAAAGGTTTCGGAGCTAGGGTTTGTCATTGTTCTCTACCTTCTTCCCTCCTTTGATTTGCACGATTTTGGAGCACTAGGGTCCATTTTTGGAAGGTTTTTAGAGCAAATGGACGGTTATCATGGAGTTAAAGATCTATGGTGGATAATTTTAAAGATTCTTAAAGAGGTAAGCTTTTTAGGTATTTTAGGATCTATTGTTGGTATTTTGGTGAGTTTGAATCTTGGGTTAACTCTTGGTATCTTTTGCTTGGATGGTGATCTTAAGAATGTTTCTTGGGGGAGTTTTGCTCGTAAATCTCAAATCTTCACCAATAGAAGCTAGATGGGGGGTTTGGAAACTAGGTTAACTTAACCTAGCAATGTCAGTTTCAAGTAGTTTTGTGAAAACTTTGTACATGCTTATTTGGAAATGATTCCCAGAAACTATGGTGTGTTTTTGGATTTTGCTCAACCTATGAATCATTAATATAAATGTTCCCACCCTTTGGAGCATAAGTTGTATTAACATTGGGTATTTGTATTTTATTTGTTTATATTGTCTTTTATTGAATATTCAATTGAGCTGTTGAGTTATTGGCTCAGGTTTGACTCAAATGGGTTTTGGGGACATTTGTCCTATTCAATTTGCTCTATGTCAAGCTTTGGGAGCTATATATAGTTATGATATATTTATGGGCAAATTACATGTTTTGAGTGAGTTGGTCATTCAATTAGAGTCATGTAATTTAGATTTTAATGCAATGGATCCATAGACATAAGAGTCAGTTTTATTGGTATAAGTGGGATGATATTCCCTTGTTGTAACTTGAAATAGGCATTGGGTCTTTCTAGGCAACATGGTGTAGGCTCTTGCAGTCGAACATTGGTTATTAACCAAAGATACTGTAATTTCTGATGAACAACTTATCTAGGTACCCTAGAGATGTCAAACTATAGACATGGAGTGCTTAAACTTGATGATTCCACAAGCGATAGACCTAAGTGGTTGAGCTTAAAGACTACACAAGTGATAGACCTGGAGTGGTTGAGCTTGATGACAACACAAACAATAAACTTGGAGTGGTTAAGCTTGATGACTCATTAAACAATAGACCTGGAGTGGTTAAATTAATGAATATTGGTCAGCAGTGATGCTCATTAACATAAAGGTGTAGGCTTAATTTTGTGTTGCGTCACATCCAATAGAATCGGGTCCTCCCGTCACCGAAAGATGTGTTTTGGATATGGTACTATATATGTGATTCCAATGTTATTTTTGGGTATAGAATGTACCCATGATTTGATGTTTCTGATGTCGTTTATTATCCATATTTTGTTGATTTAGATACTTGAGTTCTATCCATGTTTCCCGTATTTGAACATCAAGCTTTGTTGATGTTTTGAATGAGTATAGGGTTTTCTTTTCAATGGGTGTTTTGATTTAGAGCTTTCATCATGAAAAATGGTGGCTTTTGGAAATATGTTGCTTTTATGATAAAGACATTTCATTTGAGAACTTATGATTTAAATAAGTAGTCTTTCAGTTTTATTGTGTATAATTATGATAAAAACTTCTTGAATTCACTAAGGCGTTAAGCCTAATCCTTTTTCTTTGTGAGCATGACCATCAGGTCCTCTCGTGGGGTTGATATTAGCTACACTTGAGAAAAGTTGAGTGCTAGTTAGAGACTATGAGGACATTAATCTTTAGGACATTTTCGTATCATTGGAGATAGCAGCTTTTGGTGAGGATTATAGTAACACCGAACTTAATCTAGTTTTATTCAGGTCTAGATTTTTTATTGTTGACTTTGAATTTTTATTATATCCTTGCATAAGTATATGACAGTTGTAGGGATGTTGTACTGACTTTAGCCTTTAACGAAAATTTAGATGAGTCGCTCTTTCCAAATTTGAGGGTGTTACACCCGGATATTCTTAAGCCAAAGGCCCTTTGGTTCGATGATCATAGTTTTCAACAAAATGGGTGTTTAGGTGATTATACTAATTACTTTGGAATGAAACGTTAATATATGTTTCGTTCTTAACAATCACATATCAAGCAACAAGATAGTGAGTTTTGTTTATTAAGAAAAAAAAGAAGCCTCCTCTTAAGTGGGAAGCTTAATTTGGTTATATCTTTATCCTGCGTTGATTTGATTAACATCATCTTTTTTTGCGTTCTATTTGACAAATTTGCCCTAAGAAGAGACCTTGATAGTGATGATTGGGACCAAAACAAGTATACAATATGGTTCAATATGTTTTTTACAAGTTATAGTGGTAAAATACCGAATATCGTTCAGATTGAAGTGAAAGTTTAGTACAAGTCTAATGAAAATATTGATTATAAATGTTGAATTTGAAGAAATATTTTGGATTTGAGTTACCACTATTGAAGATGAACAAAATACGTAAACGAAACATGGGTGTAAGACTTTTGATGAGACACAAAGACAAATCCCACCAGGCCATTGCTATGACCATGATACAACAATGAGTTAGCAACAATAGTTCCACCACCTATTTTGAGGAAGGCTCTCTTGAGCTTTACAAACACACAAGATCTGTCTCTAAAACTTGCACATCTCTATGCAAGACCAAGACATAGAATAAGTGTGCAATGACATCTTCAAAATATATGGATCAACAAACCTTTTGTTTTCAAAATATATTTCTCAAGTATATTCTCATATCATTCAAGTTAATGTATTCCAAGTAGCTTATCTCTAAGACTGTTACACTTTAACACTTTGGCAAATGATCAACATGTCAAGAATTACATTAATATCCTCAAAAGACATAGATTAACAAATGATGTGTCATAGCCATTAGATATGTAAAGAGGCTCCATATGTGGTCTTTAAATCACCACAATTTGTCTTTAGCTCATCCCCTATGTATCCACAGTTTATGCTTTCATTCCCAAGCAATATGCTAATGCTACAAATAGTCTTAGCATAATTGGTCTGTCCAAAAGGTTAAATTAGGCTTCCGTACCTTTAGTACAGATAAATCATAACCTTATCTCCATAAATCAAGAAATGGAAAATAAGATAATAAAAGACTCAAGATTGGGATATAAAAGGGAAATAAGCTAGCTATAAGTGAGTGTTCAGACATTGTAGAAGATAATGTATATCAATTGTCTTCTAATTTCTCCATTAGTTGTTCTTCTGCAAAAAGGGTATGATACTATAGCCTGGAGCGACCCCACTATACAACTTTCACGAGAATCATGGAGAGGTAAATAACATGTAGTAGGAGGAGCAGGTAGGTAGTGATTGAAGATGATCTGTATACCTCATTCATTTTGCAAGATGACCACCTCTTTACCCGCTAGACTAAAACCATGGAGACCCGCCGCCTTTTCTTTGTAGTGTCCCTTCTTCCGGATGTCTTTGAGGTTTTTTTGGAAGCGTGTCTTAGGCTAAGCCCAAATTGATGCTGATAAATTACGACTGTAAGACATCAACCCTAATAACCACAATTTGTAGACATCTGGAATTGAACCCAGGTCAGATGGGATATTTCATCACATCCTCCTGGGCCTCAACCACTATGCCACAACCCTTGTGGTTATGTCTTTGAGTTTTTGTTTCTTTTTATGGATATTTCAAGTAAGGGGTCATTTACTAAATGCTTATCGAGTTAGTGCTTACCAATATCACTTACCTTACCGATTGAGCATAACAAGGACCAAAACCTTACCCGATAGACTAATAGTCTTCTCTGTAAGTGAGAGAAAACAAGGACTGAGAGTCTTTTTGGTAAGTGAGGCATAACAAGGACTAAGAGTTTTCTCGGAAAGTGAGGGAAAAGACTCTTACCTGGTAAGCATTTACCAGGTTTTAGACATTTATCATTAAGTCATTTTGATGGCTGAGAATGTTATATGATAAGGTAAGCAAGGATAATTTCTCTTACTGGTAATCGCTTACTCTTTAAGGACCCCTAACTTACCATATTCTCTTCCATTTACTCCGTTTCAAAATCTTATATTTGGGTTTCAAAAACATTCTTCGTGTCTAGGATTCATATTAAGTATGATTGCTTTTGGTTTTTATGGTTCCATTTTTTAGAATACATACAGAGGTTTAAATACAATGACTCCGGGTTACCTGCAAGTCAGGTGGTCGTCCTAAGATTAGTCGGCTCGCATAGCGGGTTGGCTATCCAGGTTAATCAAAAGAAAAAAAAAGGTTCGTTATTTATATTTTTATGGTATGAAGAGCTTATTCACCAAGTCATATCAATGTGTTTGTTTAAATCTTAAAAGATTTAAGTTCTCAACTAATTTTTGGTTTGTATGGAATTACGTGCTCGACCATATTTCCTTTTGTGCGATCCAAACCTACGCTTCCTCAAGAACTCCTCCTCCCCCAAAATCAAGAGTTGCTATGATGATAACCTTTGAAGTCAGGCTCGAACCAATCAGGCACTACCCTTGTGATTAAATCAAGAGTTGCTATGATGATGATGATCGGATTAGATGATAGCACGAGAGTTAGGATTAGTAGCATACTAGTTTTAATCATTTAATATGATAATTCGTACCAAATTAAACAAACTCGATATATGGATCCAAAAGTAAGATGTATGTAAACTTCACCAAATAGATTGTTTGGGTCCAAGAGGTTTGCCAATTTAACATGAATACCAACCTCCCAATAAGAAGTAGAACTTAACACCAAACACCCAATTCACAACATTTATACTGCACAAACCACCATTTTTGTACCTAATGCTTTAATTAAAACGAATAATACGGAATCGATCGAACAACTTCTTATTTACGAGATTTTCCAAAGAAGAAATGAAAAGTAAAACGACATCCAGTCTCTTACCTGTTGTTTAGCACCACAGTTCTGGATCGTCTCAACTCCCATGGCCGTAGGCAACCCTTTAACGGAGACTGCAGAAGTAATGAAGACATCGACAACTGTCTCTGCCTTGACGACAGGAAACTAAAACTACCACTTCTCAGCGTTTGCTTCTCGTTCTCATATGGTATGCAATTAGGATCATGTTCCACGGCCGAAACTCTAAGAGCTTCCGGTAGAACACAGCTAAAAACCGAACCTTCAAATGAAGACATCAATCAATTCTCATTGCTACTTAATACTCCATCCGCCCCAAAATAAATGTCCACAATGAAAAAGGCAAACGGTTTTAGGAATGTGTAATCATTATAATTTTTAATTAATGAAATGACAATTTTACTCTTAATAACTCATCTCCTAATTAAGGACAGAATTGAAAAGTGGACACTTAGTTTTGCGTATTTTGGGACAAACTAAAATAGAAATGTGAAAAGTTATTTTGGGATGGAGGGAGTTGCATATGGAAGCAAGAAGATTGCAGAGGAAGAATTGTTACCGAGTTTAGCAAGTCGATTAACCCACCCTGGGATTTGCTTCCCTGTTAAATTGTGACAAATGTCGTTGCAGAAATGGTTGCAGTTTTTGACAATTAGGTGATACGTGTCGCCATAGTAGTTTGCAGCATGGTGTTCTATGAACTCTCTGACCTGGATAGGGTCCAGACATGTTGTCCCGATTAATATCGACCTCCTAAACTTGAATCCTGGGCATTGCCGAGGTTCAACCTCAAACACACCACTACTCGGATAGTCATGAGCTCCAAATGCATATTCTACACCATGAACTGTCAATTTAATGCATCAGAAAACAGCATTAATTTACTTGAATTCTTGAACTCGATTAGGCAAAAGAGCATAAGAGAAAACAGATTTAAATATATGGTTTTTGTCTACTTAGACAAAAGAAAGGAGTATCCTCATGAACACACAACACTATATATATAGAGGGTGGTTCAAATAATAACCCATTTTTTTGTGTTAACTCTACTAACCAACATCAACCAATCACATTCTTTCTTTACTTTATGTTCAAATGTAMCTTATAAATTGAATACAAGGGTCATTTTGTAATTTGACCTTTATGTAACTCYYTAATAATTATTTGGGAGTTACAAATCTTTTAAGATCCCTCTAATTGATCATGAGAAATGAACGATCAAGATCGTTTAATGATATATCTATATATATAGGGGCTGGTTCAAATACTAACCCAAACTATTGTGCAAACTATGCTAACCCGATCTTGATCGTTCATTTTCTCATCAAACGGTCCTTATTAAATGAGACTACAAAAATAATCATTTAATTAATGTATTAAATGAGATGTCTATGAACAACTGTTCAAAGGGTAATTTTGTAAAAAAATCGCATCACATYGTRAACCTATATTATTCARAMGATTTCGTAACCTCCAATCAACTACGAAACTGCCAATCTATACGATCAATAGTGTATATCATTAGAGAAAAATTTGGTTCATAATATTCATCAAAACGATGGATRATTTTGGCGAAATGCATACAAGTTTGGATGTGTGAACCTAATGAACATCACACACACGCAACACTTCACAAATACATACAAGTTTGGATTTGTGAACCTAATGAACATCAGCAATATGACATAAAACAGTAACGAATCCCAACGTYTACGTCTGTGTTATTTGTGCTGATTTGATATCTGTTAATATATGTGTGTCTGTGCACAAATGTCTTAATGCGTCATAGTATGAAAAATGTAATCGCTATGTGTGTGATCAAGTAATATAGCACAGTGAACATAATGAACAACCCCTACATAAGCATGATATGATTTGTGCTATATGACATAAAACAGTAACAAAACTAAAACTATTATTACACAAAGTAGATAATTAAAAAGAGCAACAATGATGTGAATTTACTGAAATTGAAAACTTAGTGAAGAATGTATATTGTTTGTCATCCCGAAGTCAAATCTTTAATGAACATAATAAACAGCCCATATGTAGTTAGTCTTCAAAACTAAAACTATTATTACACAAAGTTAATAGTTAAAATGAGCAACAAGGATGTGGATTTACTGAAATTCAAAACTTAGTGAAGAATGTATATTGTTTGTCATCCCAAACTCAAATCTTTAATGTAGGCGTGTTCACATTAGCGTGTTCATAGCTATCGTATGTTCATATTGGGGCACTTATTGATTATTTTCTTCACTTTCAGAATTCGAATTCCGAATGTATTCATAGACGCTTTTAGCTTTTTCATGCTCATTGTCTTCGATCCGTTTTACTCTATGATTATCCATATTACTTGGACTATAACGGAATATTTACAAAAGGGACTTTTTTCAAATTTACAATATCAAAACCATTATAGGAAGAATAAATGTAAAATTCAGTAAGATGAACACACGTGAAACTTAATGTCATTATTACATGAAGATCAATTAGTAATATTTTAAGATTGTAACTCCCAATTAAAATATTTGGGAGTTACATAAGAATGATAAATTACCTAAATACCCTTACAATTAATATGTGAGTTACATTTGAACCTAACTAAAAGATGAAACATGATTGGTTGATGTTGGTTAGCATAGTTTGCACAATAGTTTGGGTTAGTGTTGCGTGTGTGTGATGTTCATTAGGTTCACACATCCAAACTTGTATGCATTTCGCCAAAATCATCCATCGTTTTGATGAATATTATGAACCAGATTTTTCGCTAATGATATACACTATTGATCGTATAGATTGACAGTTTCGTAGTTGATTGGAGGTTACGAAATCGTCTGAATAATATAGGTTCACAATGTGATGCGATTTTTTTACAAAATTACCCTTTGAACAGTTGTTCATAGACATCTCATTTAATACATTAATTAAATGATTATTTTTGTAGTCTCATTTAATAAGGACCGTTTGATGAGAAAATGAACGATCAAAATCGGTTAGCATAGTTTGCACAATAGTTTGGGTTAGTATTTGAACCAGCCCCTATGTATGTATATATATATATCATATATGTATGTATATATATATATCATATATGTATGTATGTTGAAAAGGGAGAAACATTACCTTCCACACCAGAATGAAAGATGCCAAAGCCAGCCCAATAAGCATAGCCATTCATGGGAGTCAAGTCATACACGTTGAGATAAACCGGTGCATTGCCTGGCCCATATCCGGGTTTAACTTTTGGAAATAACCTAAAACAAGGGGTTGATTTTCCTTTTAAACAGAATGGCACACTGGATGTCAATCCCTTCTTCATTACGAATTTCATGGTGCACCAAGTTGTGTTGGCTGAAGTCAGTCAGCACATGTCATCATCCTATATGTGTATAGACAACATCAGTAAGTAATCAATGCTCGCTTGACTAACTCAAAAAGGAGGCAGCTTCCAAATGTCAAGAAAGATCAACAATGGCCACAGTCCACAGATAGGGAATATAAATACAAAAATACCTTAAAAGGAGATAGATCCTGTCATTGATTTAAGAAACATTACATTGACATTTTTAAAAATGATAAAAGATTTGGCATTAAAAGCTTTTTATAAAATCTTATGATTACAAATCATATTGTTATGCATCCAGTTTGTGATTTTTCTAGTCCAGCAACCCAACTCAACCTCTGAATTTACTATATGTGAATGACATGTCAACAAACCACACTAATGAGTTAATGGAGAATTTGATGGCCTGTCCAATAACTCTTTACACCACGTCAATTTTTCAGTTATTGTATGTTTGACCTCCTTCCCTGAAGATGAGACTTCAAGACTTTGAAAATCTTGATGGCCCACCAACACTAGACAAAAAGCCAAAGAACATCAAGTGAAAAACTGAAAGTAATAAATGGTTTATCCTTTCTTTGATGATAAATAATAGCAAGCCTCAGCACAGTACCATACATGACTCCGATGAAAAAGAAAAGGGGGGAGGGGGGCTAAAGAAAGGTAAGAGATTAGACTAAAGGTGCAGAATCCTACAGAAGCACATTAAGATTTTCTCTTGCTAACCTGCAATCTCTGGGAACTTAATTATAACATAAAAAAATCAGCAACTATAACAAAATGCATCACAGCTCTTTAAGCGGTCAGGCGGTGATTTTTTTACTCAACAACTGGCACTGAGGTTACTGAATATGATTCATATCTGTATTTAAAAGTGCTAGTTTTTTTAACAGTGCTTGATTTGGTTTGTATGTGAAGATATTAATGTATTATAATGCTCCACCTTCTTAATAATCCTTCAATGAACAACCGTTGGTAGCCACTGCATAATCCCACATATATAAAGCAGTGCTGTAACCCTCATCCTACCCCTACAATCGACCCCCCACCACCAAAAGGAAAAGCTGTGGTATCTAGATCAAAGATGTCTGATACCACGGTTAGAAAAAAAAAAGATATTATCCTTTCTAATCTCCATTGAAGTACCTTGAATCAGTTGAACTGAAAATAAAATATGTAGCAAGATACTTGAGAATATTGCCTATTCCATTATGTCAATTACTCAGAAACTTTTCTTAACTTCACAAATTCACCATGTTATTACGAGACCTTCCCCTGCACAAGCATTCCAACAGATCTACTACACATAAATAACTCAAAGGAAACAATTTCAATACACATCAAAGACCATGAGTGGGAGCCCCCATTAGAGCCACCACTAAGATAAACTTAACAGGCTTTTAGTTATATTATATTTAACTCTCAAGATTAAATTATTTCAAGAAACAATTAGCCTATTAAGATGAGATCAACACAACTGTCTAATGCTCAACCAAGATTTTTTCTTTCTTTTTTTATTTTCTTTCTGCAAAACTTGTCTTTTTATCTTTTTGCAACTTCATAATTTAATATTATCTTAGTTCAAGCAACCTCATCATGATGCTTTGACAAGATCCTTCTTTGCCGCCTTTAATCTTATAATTAACAACCAGCTTTTACACATGTCCTCAAATAAAGGACATTTTTATTCTGTAGTTTAATTTTTTATTCTTAATTTTTAACATCTTATTCAAACATAGGTCCTTTTCAAAGACATATTTAGACACAGGTAGGTAGCTAATATTATAGAATTTTCAATGAGTACCAAGGTCATGACATATAGCATCAAGTTTTCAACAACGTTGCAGGCTTAAAATAGCGGACTTGTTAATACAGAACAGAACTCAAAGAAGAAAAACTAAATATCGATTGTGCATCCATGGTTACACAAACTACATAATCAAAAACAAATCAATACAAATGTACTAATTGTGCCAAGGAAAAGGAGTATATTCATAAAGCTTTGTCAAACGAAGGGCAACTAAATGTTTTTTTTTTAAATTATCATGCTATTTGATACCTTTACAAGATCCAAGCAAACTTTAGGACTTTCGTCCAGGGTTGTTGCTCCTAAAGAGTTGATAGCATAGGATCCGAACCCAAAACCTAATGGTCATGGGGACCAAGTCCTAGTGAATTACTACTAGGTAAACCTTTGGGGTTGAAGGGCAACTCAATGCTATTTGTACTTTAAACACATGACTTCTTGCACTATTTTTTCATCACAAAGCCACCATAAATGACTTCGTTGCGATCCCAAATATATCAAATTTGACAACTGCTCTACATAATCATTAAAACATATTTACTCAACAACCAACTTCTTAAAAACAGCAGAAAACACTCGAGCATAGCAAGAAATAAGGCGAAAGAACACATGAATGGACTCGGTGCTCACAAAGTATGTACTTCCCCCCACCCCACCTGCAATACGGAAAGTCAAAGTAAAAAAGAAGAAAACGTACTCACACAGTGCTTATGGATGTCAGAAATGAAAACACAAAATACACGACGTTAAAATCTGCCCAACACCTTCAATAACCACACGGTAACAGATAATCATCGAGTTGGAGGAAAATAGACTCCGCGGACATTTTCTCCAAAACCGTTTCGATTGAACAAAAACTACTCACAAATTCTAAATTTTAGGCTTAAAGTTTCTACGGTCGACACAAATTCATCGTCGGAGAACCTAAACTTGCTGAGATTTGCACAATACGGTTGATTTTTCTCAGATCTTAGCTGGTAAATTACACGAGAACGGAAATTATTACAGAGCAAAACAACAACAACAACAACAAAAACTAGATTAAGCATTCAATATAGCAAACAGATCAGTGAAATGAAATTAACAACGGAATTCGAAAAATTAGAATAATGAAAATCCAGCAAATGAGTGAAGATAGAAACAACTAACAGTAACATCAATAAAAAGGCTAAAACAAAGTTTAACAAGAATCAAAAGAACATTACATAAGAAAAATAAGTCCAACTCACAGCGCAGAAGAAGAAACACCAGCAGCCACCAGCAAATGCAAAGGTCCACCAAATTTATGTACAAACACAGCCAAATTTCTGTAACAAATTTATTTTCAGGTGAAAGATATGAGCAAATTTAGAGGCATGATGCTTCGAGGTTTGAGCCAAATTCACAGAGAGCAGTGGGCGTATGAGAGAGAGAGAGAGAGAGAGAGAGCTCATCAACCATGGAAACACAGGCACTTGTTTTATCTACTCAGATGGTCCACTCTTGGAACCTCGTTTATAATTTCTATTATTTATATCAATTGGATTTTTGTGGTTAAATTTAAGATAAAATGTATTAAAATCTGATCAAATTTATTTCAATTATTTATTTAATGTGATGGAATTTTTTTAATTAACGTATGCAAATTTATTGTGTTTAATAAACAGGTTTTTAGACGATCTCATATAGACCGGATTTAGAGGTATTTAAGATTGTTTATAAAAATAACTTATATGACACATGTAATAATCACTTTTGAGTGTTTGGATAAATAATTTATACCGGTGCCAAACCGGTAATAAAAAGTTTTTGAAGAAGTTAAACTCTTTTGACTTATAATAAATTGATAAGTGCTTTTGTAAAAAAATATAAGTTATTTCAAATAAACAATCTTAATAAAAAAACATTAGTTATTAGTCATCGCTCAAAAGAGTATGAAATAAAAAGAATTATATATTTGTTACATATAAAATAAGAACTTTATTATATTGACTTGGGATCATGTGAGACCAGCTTGTTTTCGTGAGACCCGTGAGATCAACATTTTACACTTGAAACTTCACAGCAAAATGCTGTGAAGGTGACTTTTTAAAACCTTCACAGTATTTTTGCTGTGAAGGTTCGACTTTTTTTAAATCTTCACAGTGTTTTTGTTGTGAAGGTTACGTGTAAAAATATGGTCTCACGGGTCTCACGAAAACAGGCTGGTCTCACGTGAACTCAACCCTTATTATATTTGGTTATGTTTTCGCTTAATTGAATTGTATCTTAAATCAGTTTTTACTTTGTTTTTATAATAGCAGCATGTTATAAATTATTATTATTATTATTTATATTTATATTTTATTTTATGATGTATCTAAATTTTATCATTTCCAAAAAAATTAAAAGTTGTTTAAAGTAGACAAGAAAAAAAATGCATTACTTGAAATAAAAGAAAAAAAGTTCATTTTCAAATATAATGAATGAATTAAAATATGTTATAGTTATCTGTATTTTAACATGTCTTTTAAAGATAAACTAGAAGGGTACTTGTGTAATACAACGAGATATATCTCGGTTTTATTGTTTCGTTTTATTCTTTTCCCTGTTGATATTATAATACGATTTTATGTGGTTTTGAGAAAACAATAATATTTTTATTTTGAATAAAATATAAATTTGAAGATATACCTTAAAAAATTTTAAAAAAAATAATATCAATATTACTATCAAATTAACTATTTAAAAATTCTTGTTTTGTTTTGTAATTTGATTAATTCAATTTATTTATTATTATAATTTAATTTTGGTTTAATAACAAAATAATTTATTTTTGATTTAATAATATAATTTTTTAAAAGATAATAATTAAGTATTCTGTTAGAACACAATGATTATCTTAATTATATTTTAGATTTATTATATTTAAAATAAAATGTTTATCCAGTACTTGGTTATGCGTATCTGCAGTTAGTTACAAGAATTCAAGAATAGAGTTTTAATAAGTTATGCTTATGAATTATTTACTTATAATCTTGAATTTTAAGTAATATGAATCAATAAACAGTACTTTATATATAAAAATAGTTTTTAAAAGTTTTTATCAAATATTATAATATAGTATAGATTAACGAGTCAAGACATTTCATCATGAAAATTACATTTGCAATCAATTTTCTAAATCATATATAAATTAGTCCAAAGATTTGAATTCATAAACTTAAATCTTATTAATTAAATGAATAAAAAAAAGAAGAAAAGCAAATATAGAGAGCAAGACATGGAGGGCCTGAAATTTAAAAATGGGGAAAGGATTAATAGAGTAAGATACACACCTCCAAAAAGTAAAAGTGAAGGGGAGTGTGTGTGTGTGTGAGAGAGAGAGAGAGAGAGAGAGAGAGAGAGAGAGACAGGGATATATTTGTCCTTTTTTACTTTTGATTCCTATAAATTATTATACTCTTTCTAATGTTTTGAAACATTTGATTAAAATGTCGAATGCATAATTAATTGGTTACATGTCACTCAAAGACATCACGGTAGTAGGAATGACAACGGGTTGGGTTCGGACCGGGGATTGGTATCCTGTCTCTGAAACCGATAATTAAAACCGTCTTCGTAACCGTTCCGAATTCCGTCGGGGATTCCCATTGGTTTTAACCGAATCCGAAACTGATCTGAAAAAAAATTACAATATACTAATTTTCACAAATAAAAGTACATTACAATTTTTAAAAAAATGTAAGTTTAAATGTCTCAAACATAATCGAACCAATTACAAACAATTTATTAGATTACAATATAAAACTAAACAAAAATTCAAACATCATACTATTAAAATCACGATTTTAGACAAATAAACTACACTTTTTCGTAAGCTTTATTTGGGTTGTTGAGGATATTTTATATATATATATATATATATATATAAAATTAAAATTAATATATATCCATATCGGGTCAGGCCGGGCCGGTGATCACCGTCCCCGTTAAAATCCCTGAATTTGTCACCGATCTCCGCCCCGTCCTCGATAAGATGTCCCCGCTACCCGACGCGAAAGTTTCGGTTTTCAGGTTTTCACCATCTGCTTCGGGTTTTTTTTGCCATCCCTACAAGATAGGGGTGTAGTTGTCCTTTTCGTCATTGGTTTTTTATTATTATTTTAACACCAATTTATTTGACATTTTGGTATTGTATGGTAAATTCAAAGTAACTTATATTTTAAGTATTACTATCTGGATTGATAAAGATGGCTTGTTGAAACACAGGTTGAAATAATTTATGAGAAGTTTTTTATCATTCTTTTTCAATTAGAATCCTTATTAATTTTAATTATTATTTATTGCTCTTAACCATAAATAAATATTAATTATTAGTAAATAAAAATTAATTATTGCTAATATTAATAAATATTAATTAATAATAGTTGAAAACTATTATAATTTTAATTATTTAAAATTATTATTAATCATATCAATTATTTTTATAT